TACCAGGATAGATCAAAAGAGGAAAACCAATTAGAAGGTTAGTCCCACACTCGCCGAGAAGAACACAAAGCCAGCCAGCACTAGAGGGGAGCACTGCAAACAGAAATTGCAGGAAAGACGTGAAGATTTTGCTGAGGGAAGACAGACAGAATTTGATGCTTGAACATAGTTTGAGGGAGGAGGATGAGGAAGAGTCAGGGTTGACTTGGAGTAAAGAACTATCATCGAGCAGTTGGAAACAGAGATTAGTTTCAAGAATGGGCCCACGTGGAACAGATCTGAGAATTATTCACATAGAAATAACCTTTGAAGTTGGGTGTAGAGTCGGTCCAATTAGCAAGGGAGAAGGTAGAGAGAGGAGTGTGACGGAAATTTGAAGAAACCTTACATTTCAGGGGACACAGAAGAAAAACAAGTTAAGGTTGGGAGACTGGAGAACCAGGAGCTGGGAGAATGTCAGTGTGGAGGGAGGGAAGAGCAGCAGTAAGTGCTGAAGGCAGGCTGAGAGGGAGACGGGCAGAGACCCATGGGTCTCAGAGACTAGAAAGACCCTCCGAACCATGAGAGAAAATCCCAGTGCTGGGCAAGGAGCAAAGGCACGTGGGGAGGCCCAGGAGAGGGTGGGGCTGCTCTTCCTGCAAGCTGGAGAGAACCACCGAGCAAAAGAGCAGAGTCATTTAAGGCATTTTGGGAGTTCATGTTAGGAAGGTTCAATATTAGGGGAAAGCCTACGGGGATAGGGAAATTAAAAATGTACAAGTAGTCCCAGGATTAGGCAAGGTTTGGATTTTATTTTTTTAGAGATAGTCTCGCTCTGTTGCACAGGCTGGAGTGCACTGGCATGATCATAGCTCCCTGCGACCTGAAGCCATCGTCCAGGTGCAGTGCCACCATGTCTGGCTAATTTTTTATTTTTTGTGGATACAGAGTCTCACTATGTTGCCAGGCTGGTCTCAAACTCCTGAGCTCAAGGGATCCTCCCATCTCGGCCTCCCAAAGCACTGGGATAACTCAGTGGCACGAGCCACTGAGCCCAGCCCCGGTAAGGTTTTCTTAACTCTTCCTTTTGTTCAGGCGTAGCATGGAGGGAATATCAGGTTGTGTTTGTATGTAACTAAAAATTCAACAAACAGTGGCTCAAATAAACAGTGGCTGATTTTTGACCCAATGTAATTCTGAAGAATGTATCTGCCTTCTTGGTGTTCTCAAGTGCCCAGGTCTTTCAATCGTTTAGCACTGCCGCCCTCAGGCAGGCTGCCTTTCCTCTCACAGCCTCACCGTACCAGGATGGTCACCATGGCAATGGGCATCCCATCTGCCTTCAGGGAAGGGAGAGAAGGCAGCCCCCACCAGCTCTGCCTACGTGCTGGATGCCTGGCGACTTCTTGGGTGCTCCCTGGCCCACTCTGGCTCACATGGCCACGCACATTTACAATGGAGGCTGGGGGTGCCCATATTTGTCTCTTCAGCTTCCTCAGTGGGAAGTGGTAGGAAGGAAGGAGGTTGTTAGCGGCTTGTGAGTCAGCCACAGAGATACAGAACATAACCTCAGGAAGAGGTTGTTAGCTTTAAGCACATAGACAAATTGTGGGATTCTCCAAAAAGACAGAGAAGATAGATGATACAGAGAAGTGACATCTGAGTTTTGGCTGCGACTCAGCACGAGAGCTCAGGTGTGGAATTGTCCACATGTGTTGTCCTGTTGGGTCTCGGAAAATTTCTGATTTGGAGCACTTCAGATTTTGAATTTTCACATTAGGGAGGTTCACCCCGCACTGTGGAAGAACAAGGAAGAACTTTCATTGCCATTTTTGAAACAGTGTAGTCATCAGGCTGGGGCATGGGACCACCTTCTGAATGCAAGGGAAGAAGGAAGAGAGCGGATGAGTTTGGGAATGTCACCTTGGACGGAAAGTCAACAAGATGGGTAATCCACAGAGTTACCACGGCACAGGAATCCTAGAACAGTGTTCTATTACTGAAATACCACTTTGGAATATCAGTTTCCTTTTAATTGTTTAGAATAATTATTTTCTTCCTCTTTAAAGGTTGGCTTTCAAATTTGCGTGGAGTTCTTGCTCTCTATTCTTTGCTCTGATATTCTATAGGAGTTCTTCTATATATTGAAGGGATTGGCTGAGCTAATTTTAGAGAAGATGAAAATCAATACAGGCGCCATGTAAATGAAAGAGCGAGGACTAAGGAAAAAATTTGAATGATGTTCATTTAAACACAGAGAAGTCAACAGAAAAAATGATTCTTCTATATTCTTCATGACAGAAATTATATCATTCCGAATCAACTGAAATGATTCTAGTATCTATGATTCCAAAGGGAGTCTTAATATATGCATGTCTGCTGCTCTCGCCTCTTCCCTAACGCAGGCCCCCTGGCCATCTGCTCTGGAAAGCCCAGGAGTATCAAGGGGGGCTGTGACTCCTGCCAAGCTGGGGCCACTTTCCAACTGACAGGGAGAAGATGTGGGTTTGCAGAACTTACCAGTTGTTTTCTCTGGGGTTTGAAACCATAACATTTCCATTCAGAGGAAATAGTCTAGGATGTTTATTTTTTCAAACTTCATGAATATTAAAAGCACTGTAATTGAAGCCAAAACATAAGAGAAATGAATGCAGTGATACCAAGTGTGGGTGTTCTGCTTTCAAAACCATCTTCGTCAATGTAAAATGTTTGAAGCAAAAGAAGATAAATGGTATCAACATAAAGCTAAATCAAATACAGTTTGGAGACAAAGCGACTGGAATTTTATCTGGGCTTTTGCCATACTCTAGGCAGGATGGCAGCCTGAGAAAGAAACGCCTTGTTATATGAGTGAACGGCAGAGATGGATGAACATCTACGAAAAATTCAATGCGCCAATTCTTTTTCAGATTTATTCAGCCTGGATATACCATGAACCTCTGAGGATTTACATATCTCGCACTTACTATGAAGAACTAATAACCAGTGAGTGGCTTAGATAAGACCATATGAATATTCAGGCCTTTTAAATCTCTGAGTGTGGAGACAAGTGTTTCTCAGCACGAACTCATCTAACTACAGCATACATCCTATTATTTCTTTTCTGACTCCAAGGCCCCAAAAGCAGTGCCGTGGTTTGAGAAATGCTAACTGGCATTATGAGCCAAAAAAGTTAGGAATTCTGACACAGGCAGCTACCAGCCTATTTTGAGATTGGGAATCATTCAGGGGCTCCCAAAAAGTGAAACCTAATTTATTTTCAAAGAAAAAAAAAACAAACACTGAATACACTCCTGAAATGAAGAAGCCATGGGCTTTTGTTCAACAAAGGTGATAAAATGCCGATGTTTAATCTTCCTGTGAGATGCAGTTTCCAGTGCAGGGAGCAGCCAAGGGGGAGTGGGGCTCCAGGGCACAGGGACCCACCGTGCAGTGTGGAGGGCAATATCCAATAGTGTCTGTGTGCTCGTGTCAGGACAAACCATGCATGTGAGCCACAGGAAAGAGAAGAAGGTGAATGAATGAGGACTGGGTAGGAGGCAAATCAAACACAAAACAATCACATGGGAGAGAGTGGCAAGGAGGAGGAGAAGGAGGCATGGGGGGATGCAGGGAGGGTGCCTTTCTTATCTCCCTGTGGTCCTCCCAGGGCCCTCTGGCACCAAGAGAAGTCACTACCAAGTCATAGTCAATCCATTTGTTCATGCTTTCAAACATTTCTGAGAGCTCTGCAATAATTTAAATTGTTTCAAAATAGTAAAATTTCGGTAGAAAGAGGGTCTTGCTTTATTGCCCAGGCTGGTCTCAAACTCCTGGCTTCAAGTGGTCCTCCAGCGTTGGCCTCCCACAGTGCCTCCCACTGTGCCTAGCCTATGATAATTTAACATTTAAGTTTTTTGTGGCTGGTAATAAATCATTTTTATTTTCAAATTTTAAGCTTATTTTAGGGACATGATCCTCAAATCTCCATGATCTCTTTCATGTTTCATTCATTCATTTAGCAAAAGAGCCACTGATCACCCATTATATCCCAGACACAGTATTCCATGCAGCAGGTACTGTGGACTGCAAGGGAGTCCCAGTTCCTGCTCTCCAGAGTCCCTGTCCATGCACTGGAAAACAAAGATATTAAGTGAATGATAAATGGCATAGAAGTTACAGCCAGAGCTCTGGGAGTTGATGGTAGGTAGGGGAGGAGTGGAGAGTGACCGGGAAAGACCCAGATGCCTGAAAGATGTATTGGAGTTGATTAGGTGACAGGGGAGGTGCCATGGAATGGGAGAAATAGACGACCCTACTCTAGGCATAGGCAAGGCCCCAGATGCTGGAGAGGGCCTGGAATATTCCAGAAGCTAACAAGGTAGTGCACAGAGTGCAAGGGAGAGCTGCCATGGAAAGGAATTATGTTGCGGAGAGTCTTTAAGTGTTGTTAGGAAACCTGGACTATTTCATAATGTCAAGTTGAAGCTATTAAAGGGTTTCAAACAGCGTAACAACACACTCAGATCAACATTTAAGACAATTTAATTATGGAAGTTCCCTATACAAATTGAGAACTGACCAGGTGCAGTGGCTCACACCTGTAATCCCAGCACTTCGGGAGGCCAAGGCAGATGGATCCCCTAAGGTCAGGAGTTTGAGACCAGCCTGGCCAATATGGAGAAACCCCATCTCTACTGAAAATACAAAAATTAGCCAGTCATGGTGATGCACCCGGAGTCACAGCTCCTCAGGAAGCGGAGATAGGAGAATTGCTTGATCCCAGAAGGCAGAGGTTGTAGTGAGCTGAGTTCATGCCATTGCACTCCAGCCTGGCAACAAGAGCAAAATTTCATCTCAAAATAAAAAAATTGAGAACGTCAGCTAAGTTAATTTTTTTGTTCTGTGTACATATTTCAGTCATTACACAAAACACATTGTACTCCATGTTCATTCCATTTACTAGGTCTTTGAGGGTAATGACCAAGCATCTCATTACATGCTCAGCAATTAGCTCAATGCCTGCAAGAAGGAGACCCACCTCACAATTTTTTTTTTTTTTTTTTTTGCTGTTGTCCCAGGTTTATTGAAAATAATACAGCATTGATTCAAACAGGTCCCCGAGGTGTTTTGAAGTTCATCCCAACTGTAGGCTGAGTGACCTGCAGGTTGGATAGACTGCCAAAAATCCAAAAGCTTCAGCATTTCCTTAGTGTCAGGATCTACTTCAATGATCTCCTGATCCAGGGCTGAGACCTCAGGAACATAATTGTCTCTCCTTTCTCTCTCCTCCTCCTGCAGCTTGATGGAGATACCTCTTACTGGGCCTCTCTGAATCCGCTTCATCAGATGTGTGACATAGCCTGCTATCTTGTTGCGTAGCTTCTTGCTAGGGATAATGGCGATCTCCTCGCACACGCGCTTGTTCGTGTGGAAGTCGTTGCCCAGGCGTGTGTAGTACTTTTCTATGATGACCCGGGCCGCCTTCTTCACGGTTTTGGTGCGAACGCGGCCCATGTTGGCGGGTCCTTAGTCCCACCTCACAGTTTTTAAAATCTGAATAAAAATAGTAAGCACCTCAAAGTCCTCATGACTTCGCAAACCCAGCTGAGAGATGATTTTTTCAGGGAACAAAAGTACTACCTCACTTATAGAAAAAGAAAAAGACAATCCAATCTTTTATCTGGTTAGTTCCCAGTGAGAATTATTTACAGAAGGAACCCAGAATGCGTTGTATTAGTCTGTTCTCAAGCTGCTAATAAAGACATACCCGAGACTGGATAATTTATAGAGAAAAAGCGGTTTAATGGACTTACAGTTATGCATGGTTGGGGAGGCCTCAAAATCATGGCAGAAGGCACAGGAGGAGCAGAGACATGTCTTACATGGTGGCAGGGAAGAGAGCGTGTGCAGAGGAACTGCCCTTTATAAAACCATCAGATCTTGTGAGACTTATTCACTATCATGAGGACAGCATGGGAAAAACCTGCTCCCATGGTTCAATTACCTCCCACTGGGTCCTTCCTATGACGCATGAGTATTATGGGAACTACAATTCAAGATGAGATTTGGGTGGAGACACAGCTAACCACATCATACCTCAATAAAAAAAATTATACGTTAAGTTGTATTTCCTGCCCCCCACCACCAAATCAAATGTTGAAGCCTTAGCTCCTAGTATGTCTGCATATGGCCTTATTTGGAAATAGGGTCACTGCAGATAGAATTAGTTAGGTTGAAATGAGGTAAGCCCTAATCCAGTATGACTAGTGTTCTTATAAAAAGGGAAAATTTGGACACAGACATGCACACAGGAAGACCCTCACGTCAGTCGACAAGAAAGGAAAAGTCAGGGTGATGCTTCTATAAGCCAACGAATGCCGAAGATTGCCAAAAAAGCAGAAGTTAGGAGAGACCTAGAACAGATTTCCTCTCACTGCCCTGAGAGGGAAGTGACCCTGTCACACCTTGATCTTGGACTTACAGCCTCCAGAACTGCAAGGCAATCATTGCTGTGGTGAAAGACACCTGTTCTGTGGCATTTTCTACCAGCAGCCCTAGGAAATGGATCCAGATATCTACAGGAGGTCAGGTCTGTGTCCACCGTGTAACTGTCCTTGTTGAGCCTTCAGTGACTGCTCTGAGTGGGAGAGGCACAGCCGACAACGTGGAAGGAGAAGGGACTGAGCTTAGGACATCATCCCTCCATTCAGCTCTTTCGAAGACAGGGGAAGTAAGCAGAAGGGTAGCCTCCTGGCCAGTACTGCTTTCCCCTATCCATCTCAGCTATTTGCAAAAGAATTATCCTTTGATAATGATGAAAGTCCATCATTTGAAAACCGAACACTGTAACTATATTATCATTTTCCTGTAATGTTTTACGCAGCCAGAGAACAAACACACAGAAAATGCTATGATCACATAATCCTACCTATGTGGCAATCTTAAAAAAATAAAGCCAGGAAAAATTTAAATTGTTCCCCCATGTCTATGGAAAGATGAAGATCAAAGCCATCATAAAATACTCCTACCCTGGATCTAGGCAGCATCTTTTATGGGAAAACTGCACAAATCTTCCCTGTCCATTATTCTGATAACCTCTGGGGGACAGAGGGACTTATGATCATGACTACTTTACAGAAAAAAAAATCAGTGAACCCTTTGAGTGATCCCCAGGCTACCCTGGATCTAGATGGCAGGATGGGGTCTGGACTTGTTCACTGTAACTTCAGTCTTGACAATTTACAAAAAGAAATGTTGGCTGGCTGGACATCAATATTAGCAGTGTCGTTTTTCTTAAGTTGAACAAAGTGGAAGGAAAAAGCGGAAAAGGATTTCACAACTTGTGTGTTTCACGCCCTTAGCACTTAGCCTGCCCTTTATGGCTGTGGACTAGAGCTTACCCTTTCTGTCCTGAATGTCTAGCGGTGTGCTGGCTTGTAGGAGGCAAATAATAAATGTTTGCTGAAAGTGAAATAGAAGACTTTAATAAAAGACAATTTTAGGAAGACTTCATGATCTGGCGAGTAAATTGCTGCTGCTCTTGGCAGGGCGATGCCGGTGATTCTGAGAATGGGAAAACTCGACTGTTATTGTTAGGCCAAAAATGATTATTGTGATCCTTCTCTGAAGTGAGGAGGGAGGGGCGTTATTTCTTAATTTGTGCTCCTACTAAGACACGTGTTTCTAGGTTGTTCCTTTGCTTTCTAAAGCAAACAGGGTGGCTGGGTCTGGCTCTGTTCAACCCCTTTTGTCCTTTCCCTTCACGTTGAAAATCGACAGAAAAGAGTCCACATTAGAGGCTGGATCACCATGGCGCAAGCTCCAAGACTGGTTCCCCATGAGAGAGGGTGTCCCCTGGGCTTCCCAGCAGGCAAGGGTCTGGGTACAATTGCAGGAATGAGGCTGCGAAGATTAGAATTTGTGTCTGACAGTCAGGAAGCCCAGGCAACTCACAGTGCCTGAGATGCAAACAGATGAGCAACGAATGTGTACAGCCCTGCCACCCCCTGCTTCTTTGGGAACCCACACCCCTGTGCAGGATATCTGGACACGTGCAGACATATTAGATGTGGTCTACCAATTCTAATAGCCGGCCAGAAAAAGAATGCGAGAACGTCACTGACCCTCTTGCCTCATGCTCTCTGAAGAGCTCCCGGAATGCGTCTGTATAACTTCTAAGCACTTGGTGGCCTCCCATGGAAAGTGCAGGCAGCATGGAAACCAACTGCCCTGCCCACTGACTGGAGACAGATGTCCCTTTCTGTCATCTCTGCAAATAGTTGCAATTCCACAGTGTAATAGTTGTCAACTTCCTTCTATTTGTGATCCACTGAAACTTCAGGATCTAAAGATTTCACCATCTTGTCACCAGCTACCATAAATGCCTAAAACAAGTTTGGAATCTTAAAACTAATTGTACTGATTCATGTGAAAGCATCCTTTTATTCTAAAAGCCTATAAGTCCACCTGGGACCCTGCTCAGACTCATTTAGATCATCCAAATTCTGAACGTTACTTTAGAAGAAAAACTCTTAACAAGCACAATAAACTGACTACAGAGATTTTTTGAAATTGCATGCTACTTATTAGGATGATGGACTTATCTGTAGAATTTTGGGGTAAAGAGAACTTTTATTGATGATGTGGTACAATTCCACCCTTTATTCTTCTGTATTGAACTTCTATATTGAAGTTATAGGCAATCATTAACACCAGAATTTCCCTGCTGTATTCTAAAAACCCCAAAATGCAGTTAATTCTTACTCCCCAAACTTCACAAAACAAAAGCGCCAATAGTTTTTCTTTTCAAAAGTCTAACAAATAAACTATAGAAGGAAAAAGATTCACTACCTTAGTAAGTTATTTACTTAATCTGGTTTAGAAATATATGAATATTTCAATGTACTTTTCACTTTAATATACATTCGATCACCTAAACACCATAAACTGTACTTCAAACCATAAATATTGTACTGTTTTATAACATATCACCTAATCAATCAAAATAGCATATGCAGCTTTAGACCTAAGTTTCATACCAACCCAAGATTTTACAAGTAAGTAAATTAAACACAGAACACAAATATGAACTTCAACTTAGTTTTTCTAATGTCTGATGATTTTTCAGATAATTTGAGGAAGAAGCGTCCATGATATGTACTCAAATTAGCATACTGTTTTGTAAGAAAATTCTTTTAGCCTAGCTGTTAAGTTTTGCCAAGATCTCATCCCTGAGTCATTGCTTTTACAGTTCAATGGGAATGGGGAAAGAGAACTGTATGGCTTCTCGGGCTACACGGAAGGAAGATACAGTTTCTGCCCTCTGTCTTTGTTTTGTTTTGTTATTTTCGTTTTGAGACAGGGTCTCACTCTGTTGGCCAGGCTGGAGTGCAGTGGCATGATCTTGGCTCACTGCAGTCGCGACCTCCCGGGCTCAGGAGACTTTCCCACCACAGCCTCCCAAGCAGCCAGGACTATAGGTCTGTGCCACCACACCTGGCTAATTTTTTTGTATTTTTAGTAGAGATGGGGCTTCAGCATGTTACCCAGGCTGGTCTCAAACTCTTGGGCTCAAGTGATCACGTGCCTCAGCCTCCCAAAGTGCTAGGATTACAGGCGTGAGCCCCCGTGCCCAGCCTGCCCTCTGGATGTGAACAGTTTTTCTCAGAGCCTACATAAGTAAAAAATGTTGGGAGTGTTCAGGAAAAGGAGTCTGTGAAAGGCAGAGGAAAGGCGTGGGGGTCTAAGAGCACCGGAAGCTGTAGGATGGTCCTCCATGGCCACTCTGGCCAGAGACGGTGAGGTTCTCGTGAGGCTGGGCAGGGTAGCCTGCAGGGAGACTTGGCAAATTACCTGGCCTGGTGACTGATCAGTCTGGTGAGAGGGAGGACTTTGGCTCTTGACTCTGTTAGCTGCTGGATGGTGGAGACATTTACTGAGGCAGAAACGTAGACAGATGAAGAAGTGGACAGGGGAATGTGAAGACATCTTTTTCATGCCTGCCAAGCTTAGGATGTGTGTGTGTGTTAACCAGGTTGGTACACCGAATCCAGCACTAGGAAGGGTGACCTAACCTTTCAGAGATTTAGATTTGGAGGTCATACACATGCAGGTATGAATGGAAGCCAGAAGAGTACAGGACCATTTAGGAAGAATGAACCAGTATCTACGGGCTGAATGCTGGGGTGCAGAACCTGGACTTGTAAGTTACAGAAGAGGGAAAGAGCTGAGATGGAGAAGGGCTAGCTAGAGTACAAAAAGAATCCGGAGAAGGGTTTTACAGAACCAAAAAAAGTGAGTTCAAGACAAAACAAGGCTGGGCACGATGGCTCACACCTGTAGTCCTGGCACTTTAGGAGGCTGAGGTGAGAGGATTGCTTGAGCCCAGAAGTTCGAGACCAGCCTGGGTGATGTAGTGAGACCCCTGTTTCTACAAACATTTTAAAAGTTAGCAAGGCATAGTAGTACATGCCTGTGGTCCCAGCTGCTTGGGAGGCTGAGGTGGAGAGTTGCCTAAGTGGGAGAGTTGAAGGTTA